GACTCTCGTTATAACAAATGATTCTATGAAGCACAAAGATTTTTTAACTCTACTAAAGATGATTGTTGAATCCATCCTTGAATAGATGTAACATAAGAAACATATTCTTTTCGAACATCATAAATAATATAACATTTCAATCATGTATTAGAAATAGATTCATTTTGATCTAAAAGTGATATATTTGAATATAAAATTTTAATTTTTAAAAAATATTTTTTAAAAATTTGAGAGATCACCTTTAATAGTATTTATCAAATCATTCTCCAAATATGAAGCTGAGTCATATTCTTTTTATTAAATAATGTCTCAAGAGTAATCCAAATCTCTAAAACCGATTTGCAACTGATTTAAAAAAAAATGATGAGAGATAGATCTCTTTAACATAAATTCAACTTTTGTGGTTAATGTCCTCTATCTTTTCATGGTATCATCTAATGCTATTGTTACATTATCATCAATCATATCCTATAGATCTTCTCCTATAAGGTATGACTATAAATAAGTCTTCTAGATATTATAATTAGACTGATTAAGAAGTTTAATATTAAATCCATCAACTTAACTATTATAATCCATAATTAAGAAAGGTTATCTTCTATATAAGAAAATCTTAAAATATAAATTACCACCGTTATGACTCTAATAACATGTGAAGGATGAAAAGATCATAAGTACAACACTTTCTCAAATAGTAATAACAAACAACTACACAAGATCAAACAAAATATAAGAAAAGAAATCAAGATAAAAGTAAAAAAAATATATATATATTAAATTTAAAAAACACAGAGAAGATTTTAAACTACTTTTACTTGAGTATGAACACTTAGATTTGAGTTGATTTATTTTTATAAATACTATCTATTTATAGATTAGAATAATAATTTAAATAAAAAGAATCTTATCTTTAAAATTTTATCTAATCAACTTATTTAAAAAAAATAAAAAATAAAAATATTAAAATCCTCCCAGACATAATACTTTAAATCTTAATAAAAAGTACATAAGATTTTTTATAAAAAATAAAATTAATAATAAAATATAAAATTAAAAATAAGAAAAAGAAAAAGAAAATTTACATTATTCCATACTTCTCTTTACATCTACAGAAAAAAAAAAAATTCTTGTAATAACAAACTACAAGTTTTAAATCAAGCCAAGTTCTTTCGTCCAACTTTTTATATAAATTTTAAAAATTTTCTCATGCATATTCTCTCACTTCCAAAACTTATTAGAGTGAAATTGTAAAAGAGATCGGAGTGTCTTCCCACATTGATTTTTGGATTTTTTTTTTTAATTCACATAAAAGTTTTTTAAATAATTAATTGTTCTATCCTTCAAGTTTTATGACTCCCGCCTACCCTTAAATATATAAAATACATGACAAATGAGCCAATCACCCAAGGCCACGTTGATCGCAATGTGGCCCATAGATGATGATCAGATCCAGAGAGATACGATGAACCCTATGATCAACATGGCTTAAGCCAATTAATTAATACGAGCAATGGATACGATGGACATCGTCCAATAATTTGATCTAAAACGTTGCACATTTCCCTCGACTGCCACCCACATGTAACCATACCTAAACGTCTTTAGGTATATTTTCAGATTTGAACAAATTCTTGTTAGTGTTTGCCCAACTGATCCAACTAGTTCAACCAATTCAAACACCAAAACTAACTTAGATCTTACATTTATCGAGAATGCCCCTCGACATCTTACGAACAATAACATGTACAAAGATTGACTTAGAACGGATCTCGATTAGATCCGAACCCTTATTCCAACTCGAACAACAAAATATTGTACTAACATATTGATACAAGAGCATCTCGATATAATGACTAAAAAATTTAAAGTGCTTACATTAATCTCTTAGTTATCCATAAAAAAATCTTAATGTTGAGTTTAAATTAATTTCGAAATTAATTCAAAAATAATTATGAGATAAACTATATATCATTAAAAATTTTATCGAGTTAGAAATGCAAAGCATTTGACATATTTTAATTTATTTTTTTAATAAAATTATATATATTTATCCACATAGATCAAACTAAATACTCTACCCGAGAATAGATAAAATTCTCTCTTATCTTTTTCTATTGCTAAGTGATATTTAAATATCTAATAAATATTAAATCTTCAAGTATCAATCTTTACTACCGAGAATGTAATTAGTTTTTATTTACTTGGTTTGAGAAGTGAGGAGTAAGATCAAGCTTGGAAAGATGTTGCTTATATATA